TCCAGTCCAACCCCCTGCCATGCAGGAAGACACAATCAAGTTTACACCCATCAGAATTTTCTTCCACTCATACAATGATCAAAAGCACCACCCCCTGCAAACCTACCTTGCAAGCTGAGCAGTCTCCTAATATGGACATTTCTGGGTTGGTAGGGAGTGAGGGGAACAGTGTTGATATGTCCAGCTATTTCCCTTAAGCTGGATGCACTACAAGGACTTCATCTGCAGGGACATCTCAGAGATCCCTGCATGTGCCTCTTGCAGTATGTCCAACTAAAGAAAAACTGAGCACATCAAAACAGACTGATTCACTCTCCAATAACTCAGAAATGGTTGTGCTGGAGCAGCGGGTGATTCTGTGTGATGTGATGTCGGAAGAGGGGAGGGGATAACACCATGAGTTACTGCACCGGGTGACACCTTCTGCCTCTTTAGTTTGCTGTCAGTATGGCAGCACATCAGAATGTGACAAAGAGTCAGAATACTGGGTAGATATCAGTGTTTTTAATGGTAAACAAACAAATATGTATTAGTGGTTTCTTCAGACAAATTCAGTAACAATATTAAAGTCACTGTAATAGAAGCATAACAGTAAGCATTACAAATGTGTTAAACATAGAGGTTTAGCAAGGCCATGCAAGAGATGAATGCATAACTCCCTTGAATCTCAAATTTGGGATAAAGATGAAGATGGGTAACAACAGCTACTCACCCAACTGGCAACCTTTTGGAGAATAGTAGTACCCATAAGGACACTTGCAGACAAAGCTTTGGTACAGACTGATACATATAGCTCCATATTTACACGATTGACTATCACAAGTAACATGTTCTGGAAGAAAAAGAAGACACAACTTTATAGCCATGGGTCATAGTACACTAAAACACAGAATGCAGAGTACATTTATAGCCATGGGTTATCAAAATTTTGTACACAGAATGCAGAGTACATTTATATTAATCAAACAACACCCACAGTTGAAAAAACAAAATGTATTAAAAATAAAATTTATAATAAAACTTTTATTTTCTAGTGCAAGAGGTACACTACCCCTCGCTTATTAAAAGTCCTGTGCTTTATTTCTCTAGATCTGTATCCCATTATGTTCTAAGTGAAAACAGTTCTTCTTCTTTATCTATACACGGAACTTAAATAAATACAAAACTAATATTCTATCTTCTAAACCACTATGACTTATTTATTGGGGGAAGAACTGTGAACTATTTAAATAACTGAATCCTTTCTATCTGGAGTAGAAGCTGTCATGATTTCAGGTCTGCTTCCTAAAATAATGAAATAGGGAAACAGATTAAAGGAAGTTAAGTTTGAGAAGGGAAAATAAAGGCATATTTTGGGACCTAGAATAAAGACATGTTTTTAGAAAATGGTATTGGTTCAAAAATCTTCATTTTCCTTTTTTCCCTCAGAACCTGCAGATCCGAACATTGACTGAACCAGATAGTGATTGTGGTTGAGCCCTCCCATAATAATAAAGAGAACCTGCAGCCATCCTATGCACTGGATGTAAGCTATACTGAACACATGGAGAACATCTCTAAAAATGCATTGTGCTTTGTAAGAGTCTTCATGATTGAATGATAATGGATAGGAGAATTTGCCCTCCTCACAACTGGGCCTTCAAGCACTATGATAAATGCTGTGAGGGCCTGACCGGACGATCCAGAAAATACA